TCCCTCCCTCCCTCCCCCTCATAAAAACACTTTCTCATTGGATCTAAGCAAATTTCATTGGTGACCTATTTTGATCTAAAAAAAAGTGAGTTGTCACTGAAAGGTGAGGAGTTTGCATCTACGACTGCAGTAGATATTTTAATAGTTTGTCACCCTTTAAATCACACTGAAGTAAATGTAAACCTTGAAACTCAATATTATAAAACAAATGCCAAAACTGCGACATTTCACTGTAAATGCAACTGTCCACTTGCTTCTTTTGTAGAAACAGAAGCTGATCTACTATAGGACTATGTGGGGCGATGTGACCAAAATCTTATTTCACAATATTTCCTGATAAAGATATATTTATCACAATATAGGCCCTAGTTATTTTTATTTTATTTGTGCTATTAAAAATAAGAACAAAGAAGCAAATTACAAAAAATTAATCCCATACAATAGAAAAAAATATACAAATTAGTTTTTCAGTACAGTAACCAAGGTTTATTTAACATGTAGTAAGAAATACTAAATTGAACAATCAAATGTAAAAATACTGCATAGTCTTCATTGTATGAATGAAGTCATTCATTCAAAAACAGTTAGTGATTTTCTCTTTTTTTTGTTGTTTGATGCATTAATGAAAAAACATTAATAAAACAGACAGCAACAGTTTATTAGGTTGCTGTCACTTTAAGAACAAATGTGCGGATCTAATATACTGATAAACATCCAATTTACTCCTAACTGTTTACATTCGCATAGAACATGGCAGACTGTGTTTACACGAATACTACAAAATGGCACATTTTGGCATAACTGTGTCTGTATTTGACCATTCAAGTGCAATAAGTTGCGAAAAAGAACTGAATTTGGGATTGCATGCTGTCTGAGAGAGCCGGTGTACCGACGAAACATGCTACCTATCAGATTGTGCTACCAAAAATATATTTGCATTGTTTTAAGGGTAAGTTTAGGGTAAAGGTAGGTGTGGACGGGTAGGTTTAGGGTAGGGGTAGGTATGGACATTAAAAAAGCCTCAAACCACATGAATAAGATGCTGGTAGCACAATCTGATAGGTAGCATTTTTAACTATCGATTTGTGCTACCTATCTTTTTAATGGGAGGTAGCACAATCTGAGCAGGTAGCACAAATCGTCAGAACACGGGCTTTCTATACGTGTGGTTTGGATGTGTGTCCATCAGCGCAAGCACGTCATTGCGGCTTATTGTACTTAGTATAGTAGCTGATTTTACCATCAAACACATCCCATTCTTTATTTTCTCATTCATGTAAGTTTCTTTAAAGGTCCCATATTGTCAAAACTTAAATTTCCTGGCTTTTTTCACGATTACTGAGGTCTAGGGGCTATTTAACTACCATATAAGTTTCAAAACAGTCAGTCCACAGTAAAATTCACACAGCCTGCTTAAAGTTCTAGCTATTTTTCACGAACCGTTGTGACTTCCGTAAAAAGTTGACGTCAGAACTACACAGTCACTGCCTTCAGTCACCACCCCGAGCACCGCCCACCGTCCCACTCTCCTTTTGCCAAACCCCCAGACAACTTCGCGTCCATGCTTTTGCTGAGCAAGGACAACACGGAAACATGTCGAAAAGGTTAACTTTAACCACGAAACCAGATCGGCCGACCTGTAACGTTACACTCTCACTCAAAGGATGGACGATCTGACAGGATTGTTACTATGAGGTTATCACATCTAACGTGTATAGTAAAGACAAACTCACCGTGTCTATCTAGTCATGATGAAGATGTATATACATTTCAATTTCAGCAGGCAACTATTTTTACAGCTACATTATTGTTCCAGCCACAATTAATCACAACAATGTATATACAATTACAAATGATTATATATGAATCGTCAGTTTGTTGTTTTACACACATGCACACAGACATTATTTCATACACAACATAGTCGTGAGATGCAAGAAACAGACATATGGCAAGAAATCTGTAGACACGCCCATAACAACAAAAGACAATACTTTATTAAAGCTTTTCTGATAAGAAGTGTGCGCTGCAAACGCAAGCATTTTTGACGATCGTTTCTGTCCAGTCTGCTCGTTTTATCGCGTTTAACCACAGCTGTCGTCGGCGGTATTTTGTCTGGCAGTGGCAGCAGATATGCGATCAAATTTCTAATTTGAGGCTGTATTACGTCGATTCTGGCACCCAACATCACAAGAAGATGATATTTTAAGCTCCTTATGTAGCCGAATCTGCGCTGGTTTGAATGGGCCGCCTCCAGTGTCCCCTTTGTTTTGCTGCCTCCTGCTAGCGCTGTGACGTCGCTGACTCTAGTTACCTGTGGTTGGCCTGGCCGTGCGTCACTCAGAAAACAACAGGCCAATCAGAAGAGAGGCTCATGAATATTAATTAGACAGACCAAAATCGACCTGTTCTCAGCAGAGCTCCTGAGAAAGGAGCTGTAAAAATATATTGAGATGGTTTTTGGTACTTATACCGCAAATATATATATTCTTAAGGACATCAAAACCTCAAATAAAACTCCAGAAAGGTGTACAATAAGGAACCTTTAATACTCTAACATGCCAATAGCATTCAGTAGTACAGCAAAGTAAAAAAATGTAAAACTTAAAATAGATTTTTGAAATTTGTGAAAGTAGTAGAAGACAAAACCGCAATTCATATGTGAATTGATTTTTTTTCTTCCACCCATATGATGAAACAACAAGCAACATTTTACATCCAGATGCAACAATTTCCTCTTGAAAGGACAGATTAAGATTTAATTGTCTGAAAAGCAAAAAAACTAAACAAAACAAAAACAAAACAAATAAAAAGTAATGTCAATTAATGTAAATAAACTAGTGCTGTCAATCAATTAAAATTTTTTACTAATTAATCGCACATTTTTTTCTGAAATTAATCGCAATTAATCCCACCTAACATTAAAGTCCTTAAATATACTTTCATATTGCAATAATTTCACATTCAATCTTCAGATCAATGTACAAACAACATAAAGACAGTATATTTTTTATATTTGTTTAATGCCATCTTTTTTATGACTGAAGGCCAGTATCACTGATACTAACACTACTGATGTCCCTATAAAATAGTTTTTCCCCCCCTAATATTTAATAGAGGTGTGCCGCTCCGATACTGGCATTTTCTGCCGGATCGGGGTATCGGTCAGACGAGACCGATCCAAATCCGATATTGTGCGTATACAATTCTGGGTTATTGTTAAGCCCCACGAAAGGCACAAAATAATTATAAAGCACAATAAAGTTTTCGTGCACTATATTCCAAGTGTTCTGAAGCCGTTCCGTAGTATAATGTGAGGTACAGATGAATATTTAAGTCAAGTTCACTTAAACTCTCCTCTCTGCTGCAGTTGTCAGTCATCCTTCATTCAGCGTTCAAACTGCGCGTCGCGTTTGGTTACGACAGTCAAGACGATAAAACTCTCACCAAGATGATTCAGTGTTCCTATAATTATACTTGATCTGTAGATAAAGATCAATGGTTTTGCATAAAAGGACTTTATCTCGCTGGAGTTTAGTGCTGTTTCTAAATCACGTTACTTTCTACCGGGTGTCTGTTAGATCACAAGACTGGAGTAGAGAGCACTATGAATTGTTCTTCACGAGCACAGTAACTGAAATGTAAAACTCAAACTATCACACAGATTTAATACACTATGCATCAATATCTCTTCACTTTGTGCTTTGAACTTTTCTATGCGGAGCGCTGCGCGCGGTGACTCCGGGTTGCTTCAAGCGCATCATTCTGCGCACGGGATGCGCATAAGCGCTTTGTGCCGCTCTGTATTGAGCCTTTCATATCATAATACTTTTGCGCAATGAAAGATTATTAATAGCCTTTCTTGTTCTATCTTATCTATCATATGTTGCTGCCTCATTACTGTGCTATACATTTAAAAGAAAGGTCTTTTAATTTTATAGTATATATTTCTATATACACATATTTATTGTTTTTCATTAATGTATTTTACAACAATACAAAGAGCAATGTGCAACGTGAGCAACATTTTACCAGATTTAGTCCTACACCTATTTACTTTTATTTGCTCCCCACTAAATAATGTTTTTTCACTAAATGTTTAGATTTTATAAAATTATTGTGCACTCGTGATTTTTCTAGAGTAACTTTTACTACTGAATTATCCACTAACCTAGTTTATAATAGTATTTTTGTCATAGATTATGATTATATATTTTTTCATTTTCTTTATAATAATTACTTTTCTTTATAATGAAGTTGTCTATATTTAGTAGATTGTGTGTAACACACAAAAGAGTGATGATCAGGTCAACACGCTGAGGTATAGAAATTCTACACTGATTTTTATAAAAACTGCGCTGGTATCGGATCGGTATCGGTATCGTCCGTTATTCAGAATTTTTGGTATCGGATCGGGATTGGTTCTGAAAAAATGGTATCGAGCCACCCCTAATATTTAACCATTGGTAATTTATTTGCACAGGTTATTAGTAGGTTATTTGCCTGACAATAATGTACATTATGTGGAAAATAATGTGTTTTTTGAACCTTAAACCGCATAAACACATTTCATTACACCAAATACACAAAATAATGTTCTTTTTAGCAACATCATATGACCCTTTTAAGAGTTGCCGCTGCTGAACATGACGTGGATCTAACACGCACTGTATTTTCTCTCAACTCTCTTTACCTTTTCTGACCCAATTCAGGTCTTAAAGTCTCTACTAATGAGCTGACGAGTTAAATCGGGTGTGTTAGATGAGGGAGACAGTGCTGGGCTGCTTCAGGACAGTTTTGAAAACCATTTCAGAGACATGTTCTTAAACCATAACATAACATATTACATGCATGCACAGTTTTAAGGCAGCTTTAATCGCAGTTGTGAGTGAGGTGACCAATCCTATAGCCCTGCGTTAATTGCGTTAAATATTTTTAACGCGTTAAACTGAAAAAATTAATCACCTGCATTAACACGCTATTTTTGACAGCACTAAAATAAACACAATGTGAAAGTATTATTTTAAGTTATTAAGATTTTTGGTAAAATATGACTTCACACTCTCTGCTCACAACTCACACTTTTAACTAACAAACAGATTTTTATCAACTTTACTTCAAAAAACAAAACCATAGTGATAATTTTACACTGGGTAAGAATGTTTAAAATAATGCTAAAAGAGAATAAAAGTTTTTATTGTTGTCATTGATTTCTCTTTGATAGAATATGACACATCATTGCACACGTGAGCTGACATGACACGGTTTCAATTGTTGTGACGTTGTTGACATGGTTTCAAATTGTTGTGATCACGTTTTAATGACTGAAGAGTTGTCTGCAAATTGTCGCCATGAATGACTATGCATTAAATAAAATAATAGAAAAACATCTGCACACCGTTATTCTCCCTTTATTCAAAAAAGTTCAAAATAGCAACGTTTCGGTCAAAGATCTTCGTCAGACAAACACACCGTCTTTTTTCTATTATTTGATGTACCTTTTGATCTTGCACCTGGCCAAGACATTTTTGGATGTGCGTACTTTGACCCTTTCTTATACATGAAATAAAACAACTAATTGTGCCGATTCATGTTTTGAAAACATATTTACTATAACTGAAAATAAACCAACACCATTGCCGTCTTTTTTCTATTATTTGATGTACCTTTTGATCTTGCACCTGGCCAAGACATTTTTGGATGTGCGTACATTGACCCTTTCTTTAAACATTATATAAAAAACAACTAATTGTGCCGATTCATGCTTTGAAAACATATTTACTATAACTGAAAATATACTGTATAAGTCTAGTAGCTAGTTTGGTTTCTGGTATCAGGCAGCAGTGATTTCATCTAAATCAATAGGACAGTCTACTAAAACTGATCGACGAGCTTGAATCTGGCCCACAGGCCGACAGCTGACAAGCCCTGGTTTAAATCAGGAACAGCCAGGAGAAGTAGAATTGTTATAACTACACATAGTGTGTGTGCCTTTACGAAAACAACATAAAAATGACCTGAGCTAACTGTGTCTGCAATAAAGTGGGGAATGTACCTTTCATGCACACCGTCTCCTCTGGTCCGCTCGTCCTCTTTCTTCTGTCCGCTGTTGTTGGCTGCGTCTGCTCTTTCTGCAAAAGTGGAGACAGATTTCACAGACAAAGCTCAACTCAGATTAGTCTACAGCATTACATAAACAGCACTTAAACGCAAGGCAGATATCTCATAATTTCAGGGGAGAGTTTTTCAGGAACTGTGAGTCCTACAGCTCTTTTCTAGCACTCAAATTCCTGATCGTATTAAAAGCGAGTTTCCTACAGCAATTTGTAAGAAATTATCTCCTCTGATAACAAGCGGAGCAGAACAGGTCAAAGTTTTACTGTGCCATCATGAATCAGAAGTCATGAGGGTGTAGAAAAGAGGAATGTGGGAGGGACCAAAACGAACATAAGCTTCCTCAAAACTATTTCATCCACGGCAGGAAATTTCAAAGGAAAGGTTTGGCAACAATGGTTTCTGCATTAACACAATAAAGTTTGGTAACAAATCCTTTATACAGCTTTGACTGGCTAATATTGGCCTGCACTATGCTGGCGCCAAGCTACATGTTTCAATGCCAATGAAGAAAGACATAGCCAGAAACATGAAGACTTGATTAAAGTCAGCATGAAATTTACAGTATAATTTATTTGTGCACAAGTTCCCTTTTTTTGACTTTGTAATGTTTAATCCAAATGTCATAACTGGACCTTTTGTTGAAACGACAAACAAATAATCTATTACACTCAGATGAATGTCAAAATACAGAAGACAAGATCTGTTGCTACTTCTGTTTCATTGCAATTGTAATAAACTAAATAGACACACCTGCCCATTATGTTTTTGATTAAACACTTTGATATTATAAATTAATTTCTGATGAATATGTCGTTTTTGTGACCTTGGAATGGACTAGATACCCTGCTTAAATTTCGAAAAGACACTCATGAAGTAGAAAGTGAGGAGACATCGGTCCAAATGAAAAAACAAAACAAAACAAAAAAAACAATTGAATTACACTTTTTTTTTTAACATCAAGATTTTAGGTTAAAATTTATATCCATTACAATCCAATGTCTCACAAAGACTGTGAAAATTATTATAATTTTTTTTTTCATTTATTTGATGAAAAATACAGAACAAAACAATAATATTGTGCAGTATTACCGGTATTACAATTTAAAATAATAGTTTTCTGTTTTAATATACTTTAAAATATAATGTAATTCTCTAATGCAAAGCATGAACATTTGAACATCATTACTCCAGTCTCTTTAGTGTCACATGATTCTAAAGAAATCATTCTAATATGCTGATATATTATCAATTTTGGAAACAGTTGTGCTGCTTAATATTTTTTTTATCAGAATTCTTTGATGAATTAAGAGTTTTAAAAAAAGAACAGCATTTCACCAGAAGAACCGAGTTATTTTATGTCTACTCGGAATGTTCCTGTCAAACCGAACTAATAGAAAAGACGTTCGTATTTATATACATAATGAGATCTCTGTAGTTATCGGTTTACTTTGTTTAAATTTATATCTAACCGAGAGCACTTTTCTTACCATTTAATCCAGTCGTATTAGACATCTCCCTGTTTTTGCATTCTGACTGTAGTTACAGACGGACCGACTCGACTTCATTTGAATAGCTTTTGGCACAGAGTCCTACTATGCTGAAGGTTTGGCTCATGAATATTAATAAAGTCATACTGACGTCACCTCGTAACCTTCCTCTAGCGTCCAGTCACGAGTCTTCACAAGCGCTCATTTACCTACGTCAGCTTTGCAGCCAATCAAATAGGCCGCTGGCGTCACTTCATTATTATTCATGAGCACAGCCTTCGCCATAGTAGAATTCGTCGTGACGCTTCCAGTTTGCAGACTAGAGCGGTCTAACACAAAGCAATCGATTGAGAATTAGACTCAACTAGCTAATAATGTTTTCACTATTCCAGCCAACTTTTGTATAATAACATAATAACACCGAAATTCCAGTGTTATCTTCCTTCCAACTGTAATACAACTATATTGCAAATATTAATTCTGAAAACACTTTATATTGTAGAAAGTGTGCTTGAGGACAGTGTTGTTACTGTTATCTAAAACTTTTATTAAAGGGGTCATATGATGTTGCTAAAAAGAACATTATTTTGCAGGGGCGCGGGAAGATGCTTTCGGTTGGGGGTGCTGTGTGTGTCCGTTAGGGATGGGCGTATCGATCCAAAGGACGCAAATTTGTAGATTAATCTTTCATCCTCGTAAATAACAGCAATTCACAGGAGAGCTAAACCCAACATCGTGCTAATATTGGGGATGGGCGTATCGATCCGAAGTATCGATATATATCGATACTGACGTGAGTATCGAAAGTATCGATACTCAAACAAAAAATATCGATACTAAGGTGTGTTTTATTTACCAGTGATTTTGTTAATTTAACAACAAAAAAAAACGTACAATATGCATTGAATTGGACGAATAACCTTTGTTAGCGAGTAATTGTGTAGGATAGAACTATTTTCCTGCTCATCTGGACACGCAAATGTTGCAAGACAAAACTAATCAATCATAGAGAGATCGTTCACTCACTTCTGACAGTGCATTCAAACGGCTGCGTTTCCCAAAAGTATCATAAGAAAGCATTAAAGCTTTTGGGAACGGCAGCCCTGAACAATGCTCTGGATTTGACAAAAATTGAATGACATTCAATTTTTCCTCTATGCCCCGCCTTTTTGAAAGCGTCGATTTTTACAAAGCTCATCGATCTGAAAAGCAAGGTGTGCTGTGATTGGCCAGCTATCCAGTGTGTTGTGATTGGCCGAATTCCTCAAGCGTGTGACAGAAATGTTACTCCCCTTACCATATTGTGATGATGCCCTATCCGGCCGGAGCGATTTGCTTTCACAACGAAACACAGCGCCTTCACGACATGGCGGCGCAACAACAATACTACAGCGAGAATAAAAGTTACGCCTTCTTTCTTTGCGTGAACATTTGGGCGGCGTTATGCAAATCTTCCCACATTGTGACGTAGACATGTGGGGGCGTGTTAGAACGAGCCGTTTTAGGTAGGTGTGGCTGACTCTTAACTTTTATAAAGAATATCTCTTTGGATTTGAGACTTTAGTCTTTGCAACTTTACAGATCTTCTTTATGCACCAAGAGCTTGTAACACTCCAAAGAGAAAGGAAAAAATGAAATCGCATCATATGACCCCTTTAAAACTACCAAAAATAATTTTTGTTAATTGAAATAATTCTGAAATAAGATCAAATACTAAAATTGTACAAAATAAAGCCAAATAGATTTTTTTTTTTTAAAAAGATAAAAATGACAAAAACATAAAAATGGCTAAACAAAAGTTTCAAACAAAAACTTAAAATATCAATTCAAAATATGAATACTACATCAGTATGTAAGCAATATTAGAGTGACACGGTTAATGGTTAATAAAATGATGATTTCTCTGGCATTTCTACAGGAGATACAGATGATTACTAATGATCTAACAAGCTCGTGGTTTCGCTGAGGTTATAAAACAGTGCTGATGACGCAGTGCTGGCATGTGGATGTACTGGTCTGTTTACTAAAGCAACTTCATGCAAACTGAAAGAGCAACGACCACGTTTCTTCTGTAAGGGTTTCAGTGTTTGGATGATTATAGAGACCACTGTACAGTAAGCAAATATTCAGTTTTTATCACCAATTAACACAGAGCAGAGACATACCACAAGTCCATGTCGAACCTACTTTATGGACTTTTGTAAAGTTTTTCCAAAAAACACTTTTTGTGGAGTTTGTCAAACAGGCATATTCATTTGTAATGATGTGTTACACTGGAAGAATGCAACGCTTACCCGATTTAAAATGACCAGCTCTACACACAAAAAAGCATGTAAATAAGTTTTCATGCTTCACTGGAGTCTTTGCACACCATCTTCTTAGGATATGAGTGACAGTACATCATGTTATGAACATGTGCAAGTAAAGCTTTTTTATGAGGCTGCACTTATTTGATCAAAAAATACAGTAAAAACTATAATACTGTGAAATTGCTATTTAAAATATCTGTTTTCTATTTGAACGTATTTTAAAATGTATCTAATTCCTGTGGTGGCAAATGCAACGCTTACCTGATTTCTTCATTTGTCTCATCTTGACAGTCGTTGCTCCAATTGACTTTCTTAGTGATCGAGCTCCTTTTGACATCTTACGGTACTTAGTGAGCCAGTCAAATTTTGGTTCTTCCTTCGGATACTGCTCACAGACATCTAAAATTTTAGAAGACTAATTTATTGTTTTTACATAGATGAATTAAACTTCCAGTTTCAGGATAAAACATAAGTGATAAATACATAGAAAAAAATAATGATATTATGAATACATGAGTCTAACTCTTAGCTGATTACTGCCTCTAAGAACATCAATCATTTCTATGTACTGTATATTCTGAGAAAGGCAAAAAGGAACTGTATTTTTCTTCTTTCCTCTGCTGCCGTTCTCTCTCTCAAAACTATTAGCCGTAATTTCACACTAACTTCAACATCTAATCACACAGACGAGCTCTAACTTCCCTTTGCAAGCAAGTGGCTGCTGGTGTCTGAGTTTCTATACGACCACAAATTATCTACAGTACAACCGTGTTGCCGCTTACCTTGCAAATTTCTAATATTCTTCCGGTTAATGAGCACATCTGCTGAGCCCCTGATACTCGTCATCAGCGCTCAAGTGATGAAGGTCCTTCTAGCATCTGTTAAACATCACTTAGCCTAAGCATATTTCCTCTTCAGACCTTGTTGACTTTAGTTCGAGGCGTCAGATGAAATTACTTTCAAGCGTTCATCTTTAAATCACGAAAATGCACTGTAGATCCACAATCATTAGAGCAAACAGCTACTTATTCTGTATCTTAAAAGCCACAAACTGAATAGAAGCAGACAACCTTCTTTTTTAAACTCAAACTCCGCCTCTCACACCCTTCTGTTCCGCAATCTTATTCTTTCTCTCGTCTTCCTTAACGTGTATTTGCTAGAATTAGCTGTTGTCTGAGAGTTGTCTGAGCACACTGGCTGCTTAGCTTCTTCAGTCTGAATAAGCTATAGATGATCTCAGTTTATTTTGTGAAGATATATATATAGCACTCGCAGGTTGTATAGCTGGGCGTCCCTGTTATTACGCAATGATTCCAAAAGTACCATTTTACCAGGTAAATGAATGACAGAACCAGTCAGCTGATGTCTTTGAATGGCTTTCAGAATTTCGTTAGCATGAATGGATACACGTTTGGCAGGTTTGCTATGGATGGTATCAATGCAACGTTTTCTTCTGCATCACTGCCATGTGGATTCCCCTTCATTTAATGTACTACTCAACATGAAAAACCACATAGTTCTACACAAAAGTCTTTTAAAAGTTTTGGGGTCAGAAAGATGTTTAATGTTTTTGAAATAAGTCTCTTCTGCTCACCAAGGCTGCATTTATTTGATCAAAAACACTGTAAAATCAATAATATAGTGAAATATTATTAAGATTTGAAATAACATTTTTCCCCATTTGAATATATTTTAAAACGGAATTTATTCTCGTGTTGGCAAAGCTGAATTTTCAGCAGCCATTACTCCAGAAGCATTTTATTTATTTATTATTAGTAATATTAAAAACTGATTTTGCTTATTATTTGTGAAAACTGTGGTACATTTTATTTGTTAGGTTTCTATGATGATGACAGCATTAAATTGAAATAGAAATATTTGGTCACATTATAAATGGCTATAATGTCACTTTTGATCAATTTAATGCATCCTTAAAGGGGTCATATGATGCTGCTAAAAATAACATTATTTTGTGTATTCGGTGTAATGAAATGTGTTTATGCGGTTTAAAGTTAAAAAAACACATTATTTTCCACATACTGTACATTATTGTTTCTCCTCTATGCCCCGCCTTTTTGAAACGCGTCGATTTTTACAAAGCTCATCGGTCTGAAAAAGCGAGGTGTGCTCTGATTGGCCAGATATCCAGTGCATTGTGATTGGCCGAATACCTCAAACGTGAGACGGAAATGTTACGCCCCTACCATACTGTTGTTCCGTATGTCCCGGCGCGACGAGACAAAAACATTAAAACCCATTACAAACGAAGCATTTGTTGCATCCAGTGGGGACATAATTACAGATTATAATGACTTATACTGTCTTTTTACACGTTGCGTTGCAT